CTAGGGAATAATATATACTAAATGTCTTACATCCCAAGACTTAACAAAATATAAAACTCCTAACATCTAATCCTATAACTCACGACTAACTAAATATATAATAACCTAATCTAATAAACTAACTACTAACACCTAAACAACTAATGAACTAACCTACGACTAAATAAATATATAAACTCACGCTAACAATCTAACATGCCTACTAACTTAAATGAATATACTAACAACTAGGACCTAATAATAATTAACTTAACATATAATAAATTGACTATTAATTTAATTACAATATTCTAGAAACTTTGCTCTCGGCTCGCATGGCTCGCCTCGTGCATTCTCGCATATTCATGTCCAGGTACGCCCCCGCGTGCTCGCTCGCGCAATGTCCAGGCCCATCCATGTGTATACGCCCACGTCTAGGCTCACCCGCAAGTCAGCCCATCGCGTGCATCCATACCATGTCCTTTCGCGGGAACTTTGGCCTCTTACGTGCTTTCCCGTCTTCACACGCCTCTTAGGACTTTCTAACTTTATAACTTCATGTGGAAACCAACATTTTATGGAGAGATTTGAATCCAAAAACAATAATTAATTTTTTTTTGGTAGTCAGTCACGGTATCCAGAGCTTTGCCCCGACTAATCTGTTGGTCGACTCGGGTCACACATCTAGCAATAGTGGGTGAGTCTCCCAACAAGGATTTTTATCATTTACAAGGACTTGAACTCGAGACCTCGCTTAATCGATATCAAACTGCGTACCACTTGAGTCAATCTATTGGTAAACAATAATTAATTTTTTTTAATACAAGGACCTTTCGGTTTCCGGATCCACAGGAAAACCGACTAATCTGTAATCGAGTCGGGTAGAACCACAAGGGCGGCAAAACTGTCCCTCAAGAAAAACAATAATTAATTTTTTTTTTGGTACATGGACCTTCCGGTTTCCGGATCCACAGGGGAACCGACGTTTTAACACTGCTGCATTTCCAGGGCTCGAACACGAGACCACTGGTTAAGCTGGAAGAGGCCCAAGCCATCTCATCCAAGCACTTTGGTAAACAATAATTAATTTTAAACACAAGCGAGTATAATTTGAAGGCGTATAGGTGACGTGGGTGCCGGTCTTCTTATCTGTTGATAAACAGTCAACCCGCTTTCTTATCAAACATCCATCACACCATAAAATATTAGCGCATATCATACATATCATCTTCCCATTAATCATAAGAATTGCAGTCTGAAACCGATACACTGCCAGCAACACTCGCCTCGTCCATCGCAAAGTGCTCTTAAACTCCCAATCGCCTGCAACTTCAAGAATCCTACCGGAAAACCCATTTTCTTGATCGGGCTTTTCGTTTTTACTTGATTAAAATTTTCATCTTTAAAGAAATTCTGAGTTAGAAATCAAAAGGGGAGATGAGTTTCAGGGACGAAGCTGAAGATGGGAGGGGAGATCTGAGGAAGCCATTTTTGCACACGGGGAGTTGGTACAGAATGGGGTCGAGGCAGTCCAGCTTGATGGGCTCCTCACAAGTTATTAGGGATAGCTCCATCTCAGTCTTGGCCTGTGTCATGATTGTGGCTTTGGGTCCTGTCCAGTTTGGCTTCACCGTAATCTTTTTCATATCTCTCTTGATGTTTTTTTTTTCTAGTGGGCCAAAATTTGTTTGTTGTTTCCATTGATGTTTGTGAGTGTAGAGGAGCTAAAGGAATTTGAGCTTGTGAGTTTCTTGGAATATCACTTGTGAGTCGTCCCCACGTTGATTTGATATGGTAAATGAGTCTAGTTTATAGGTGTGCTTCACTGTGTGCGACCGCACCCTTGATGCCCCGATTATAAAAAAATTGACATGAGTGATTGGCTCTTTTGGTTGCTGGAAATGAAAAGATAGCTTGAACAAATATAATCTGAACTTGAACTTTTCGAAATGGGGCTAACTAAGATTAATGGTACATATAGTAGTTCAACTAAGTGCATTCCAATAAAATAGCTGAGGCACTTTTTGGTTTATTATCTGCTAACTCTTGGTATTCGTTTTCTATCGCCCAATTGCATAAGGTCGATTAGATTATTTGGTTCTTGGGTACAGATAGAATACATCCATGGAAGCAGAAACTTTCTTATATTGTGGTCCCATTTCGACATTCTTCAAATGGTGCCTGATGTTTAATGGTGGAATCAAAATTCCATGAAGTGCATTTTACATCACTTGCAACTGAAACCGAACTTGAAAGCATGAATATTTTCATATCCTAGATGGTTTTAGTACTTACTGAAGTTTGTACTGCGAGGGCTGCTTGGTTACCTCTTAAATGTATTATCTGATCATATTGTTTCTTTATTATTCTATTTTTTGTTTTATTGGAGCTCTGGAGTCTTAAAATTCATCGGACCACGAATCTTTAGAACTGAACTATTTTTCTCGCTTGATGGCGTGTGCTACTAAATATGAGCTAAACTACTGGTCAATTTTGTTGGTCGTATAGTGCGGCTACTCTTCACCAACTCAGTCTGCTCTTACAAATGATCTCCAGCTCACAGTCTCACAGGTTTAGTACTTATATAATTTGTTTCCTATAACAAGCGTATAAGAGTATCTTACTTTTTCTTCTTAACAATTCAAATTATTGGAACAGTTCTCCATATTTGGTTCTTTGTCAAATGTGGGAGCCATGGTTGGTGCAATAGCCAGTGGCCAGATCGCCGAGTACATTGGTCGAAAAGGGGTGATGAGATTATTTTGTTCTTAGCAACTGAATTATAGATACTTTTGTATTTCCGTGGTACAATCTTAAATTTTTTATCCAATTCTTTAACCTGCAGTCTCTAATGATCGCTGCGATACCTAATATCATCGGTTGGCTTGCAATATCATTTGCCAGAGTGAGATTCTGTTTAATTGTTTTCCCGCCATCTACTTTTATCTAACATGAACATTTTTGTTTCTTATCAGCCATTCTTTTTTTTTTCCCTTGTTTTTAATTACATCAGGATTTTTCGTTTCTTTACATGGGAAGACTATTGGAAGGATTTGGTGTGGGTATAATATCTTACACAGTAAGGACTGTGGTTCTTTTGTGTTCATAGTTTTCGGCCGTGAAAAGAATTCTGACAGGTTATACCTTTATATATATAGTTTTTAACTTCCATCTTCGTATAGGTGCCTGTATACATAGCTGAGATAGCTCCTCAAAATCTCAGAGGTGCTCTGGGCTCGGTGAACCAGGTTTTTTTTTTTATTATTTTTTTTTTTGTTTTTTAAATACACTAATTTATGTTGACATATATGTGCTTCGTTAAAAGATGCGGCCTAATTATACCTACTTTTGTGGTTTAGCTCTCTGTAACCATTGGGATCATGCTATCATATCTGCTGGGACTATTTGTTGGCTGGAGAATTCTCGCAATTCTAGGTTATCTTTGCTGTACTGTGAAAAATATACTTCAATTACTTTTAATATATATTGTAGAGCCATGAACTCTATGACAAATTTAATTTGAATGCCGTATAATGTTATCTTTAGTTATTTTTCTGGTCTTCCGAATTTTTGTTCATTTGTCTCAATTTAATAAATGATGTATTTGTCTAAGAATTTCTTTGCAGTGAGTAACTTATATCTGTATTTTTTTAACATATATATATATATATATATATATATATAT